GATACCTGGCTGGCTCAGCCAGTAAAACATCTGACTTTTGATCTCGGGGTCTTGAGTTTAGCCTAATGTTGGATATAGAGATTGCTTAAAAAATAGAAAAAAAAAAAATCATTAGAAAATTTTAGATCTAATAGATATCAGAGTTCTTGGTACATAATAGACTGGAAACTTCATGTATAAAATCCTGGAACATTGATGTGACCCTTTGAGGTAGGTATGTAGGTATAATTCCAAAGCTTCATGCATGGAGACCAAGACTTGGGAGAGATTAAGTGACTCACCTAATGTCACTCGTCTACTAAATGACAGAAAAGGATTTGAACCCAGGATTTAAGCCTGCTGCTTCTGGATTTTTTTTTTAAAAAAGTGAATTAACAAATGGTACAGTCATAGATCTACCTAAAATAGGTTCCATATAACTCTAGTAAAACCATGGAGTTGACTTACCTTCAAGTAAGTCTTCACGAGTCTTCAAGAATATACTTCTCATGTAATGGTTCATTTATCATTTGTTTTGAGCTTCATTCAGAAACCATTTATTAACTTCTTCTCTCCAACTATTTTTCACACACTCTCATTGCTATACTACATGGGTGATATATGAAAAGATGCATTCAAAGGTAGAGTGATGAGGCATCAAGGTTACCAGGAACTTGCTGGACCCAGTCCTAATTCAGGAATAACTCTACACCAAGAAGTATGCAGAAAGCCTACCAGTAATTATGAAACATTTGATGTCTTCATCATCTAAAGCAGTAGTTATCAAACTTTATGGGGCATAAGAATCACCTGTGTGTTTGCCAATCTCCACTTGCAGAGAATTTTAGATCATATATTTTAAAAGTTGACTTTAATGAACACTGTGATTAAGAACTACTCAAAAAGATTATTACAGTACTCTGTTTCAGGAACACTAAAGTATCAACCAGTTTAAAATACATTTTAACTTTCAGAAAATGTCATTTCCATTTTTCTTTTCAATAGAAAGTGCCTTAATAAAAGTTACTACTGGTATTTTTCATTTCTTTAGAACCATATAACCACATTTATACCCCTTACCCTGTGCTTCTTAATGATAGTTGCAGTTAGAAGAGTTCCTTCTTGGTGACACAATTCAGTCTTAATGACTTCCAAATATGGCACTGTGTGTACATTTCTAATCCTGAAAATCCTCTTCTGAGTTCTATCAAGTCAGATTTGTCACCCTTCAGGCTCTGTGTATGAGACACTAGGAAACATGCATAAGAGAAGTGACAGTTTTTTGTTTTTACCATGAACAAGACAACTTCATGAACCACTTGTGACTGAAAGTGTGTATTTAGTATTTTGTTTTTTTTAAGTATCATTAAGGCATATCTGACTTTCTAGAATACTGGATGATTTTTCTGCCTCTCGTCAGTTAACCTATGAAATGAAATGAGGTCATCTGACACAAGCTGGCTGTCAAATTATGAGACTCAAGCAGAAAAACTATAAAATTAGATGTACCCTTACGATATTTATTTTTAATATGAAAAATCTGTTTTAGCTTTTGATTTTCTATGTTTTTATTTACAGGTGTAAAATATTAGACCGACACTTGGTGATACTGTCTAAGAAACATCTTGAGACCAAATTTCTGAAGCTGAATGTGGAAAAAGCACCTTTCCTTTGTGAGAGACTGCGTATCAAAGTCATTCCCACACTAGCACTGGTAAAAGATGGAAAAACACAAGATTATGTTGTTGGATTTACTGACTTAGGAAATACAGATGACTTCACCACAGAAACTTTAGAATGGAGGCTGGGTTGTTCTGATATTCTCAATTACAGGTAATTTTTAGCAAAACAACTGATTTTAATTCCATATCCAGTTGATATTTTTAGAGAATTTTTTTTTTTATGTTAGCATTCATTTTATGGAGCTAAGTAAGGTCTTCTGGGTTAGATGTAGAAAATGTTTCACAAATGAAAACATATTTCTTAAAATGTACATTATTAGCATGATCTAACAACAAAATCAGAGTTACAGATAAAATTGAGTCTTGGAGTACACCTAACTATGAAAGTTTTCATCCTAACAGATCCTATTGAATCTAATTTTCTGTTAGTCTGAAAACCCAAAATGACACTTTGGAATTGACTCTTCCCTGATTTAAACCAGATTACTCAAATTGATAATGACTGACTTTTGAACATTAGATTTTTTAATGTAGCTATTCCTGTCTTATAGAATCTGATAAAATGTATGATCTTATTTCTGTGATCAGCTTAAATTATTGTGGAGACAGTCTCAATTTGAAAACAGTCTAAAATCCAACTTCCATTTTTCATTAATCTCCTTGTCCACTTCGCAAAATGGTTTATCTGATTCCACAAATCAGAACCTGTCATTTTGCCTTCTGTGCCTGTTTTTGATTGGGAAAATTAACAGATAAAATTATACAATTATCATTCTATAGTCATAGTGCTTTTCAGTAAGTAAAAAGTTCTCTTTTCCCTGTTCCTTTTTCTCTGAATCTTCCCTACACATGCCTAAATTATGCATACATTATAGAAATTGACTTTGGAGTTAGGTTTTACTTTCTTAATAACAAAATACTAACATTTATTAAATGTATTTTGAAATTATTTCAAGCTTTAAACAAGTTGAAAAGTAGTACAAAGAATTCTCATCTATCTTTTGCCTGTGTCTTTCAATTTTAAGCATTTTGCATTTGCTTTAGCATTCTTTTTCTGAATACACACTTTCTTTTCAAAACCATTTGAGTCGAAGTTGAAGATGTATTGTCCCTTTGCTCCTAATATTTCCTTGTGTATTTTCTAACATTGAGAGGTTTTTCTTATGTAACCTTAGTGCAGTTATTAAGATAGGAAATGTTATGTAGTTTACAGATCTTATTCAAATTCTGCAACTGTCCCAATAAGATCCTGCATACTAAAATGTTTCATATAGTTACTATATGTTTTTAGTTTGCATTAATATGTGACAACTTTTCTTATTTTTCAATTGAATTATTTCAATTATTATTATTATTTCAATTATATTTCAATTGAAGAATACAAGCTAGTTATTTTGTAGAGCACCCCTCAGTTTGGATTTGTCTAACATTTTAAGATTAGGTTTGGACTATGCATTTTCTCATGGGTATATGATAGAAGTGACACTGTATTCTTCTCGGTGTAGCACACCAGGAGATAAAGAATGTTTTATCTCATTTCTGGTGGTGGATAACTGAGCACTGGTTAACAGGTTGTCTACCAAGCCAAATAGTGATTTAAGAAGAACTTTTCCATATCCCTCATTAATTACTTTTTCATTTATTCATATTAGAATGGGCAGTAGCTTATTTTACCCAGTGGGCTATAGGTGGTTACTTTTATTATTTATTTTGAAGCCCAAATTGCCCCATATTTGGCCAGTGAGATCCCCTTTCATGCAGGCTTCTATGTCCTTTTTTACATGTCCCCACAATTCTTTATGCATTTTCTTTCTGGTGCAAATAAGTCTTAGAGGGACTCTCCCAAGAATTGACCATTTCCCCAAGGCACTGTGGTTCCTCTCAGTGGCAGATGATATTTCAGAACCAGAATCTAGGTGCCAGGAATCTTCCTAAATATTTTTGAAAAAAGAAAATGTCTCAATTATTTCTCAAGTATTATTGAAAAATTTCATACCAATTCCAGGTTAATGATGATGAATTCCACGAGTTTTATTGATGTTTTTCTAAACATTAAAAGATGTGATACACTATCATACCAGCCATAATAAGCTGTAAAAAATAGATCGTTTTCCTGTGTCATTCTTATAGTGAAGAAGATCTAATCCAAGTTCAGCATCTCCAAACAGGTGGAAGAACTTTTATTTCTTTCTGTGCTTTTCGCTTAGAAACTATGTTCGTACATCTAGTGAAATGTTAGTAATTAATGATAAGAGAAAATAAAACATTGATCAAAAACATTTAGTAATACAAAATAGGGTTTAAAACTCTTAACAACTCTTAACCATCAATATGAATACTATACGTCTTCCTTGACACCAGCATATCCATAGGTTAGGAAGAAAAGAGATTTTTATGCAGGTTAGCATACCAACTGTACTATCATAAAGAATAAATGCTTTTCAAATTTGCTTTATTTTTAGTGGAAATTTAATGGAGCCACCATTTCAGAGCCAAAAGAAATTTGGAACAAACTTCACAAAGCTGGAAAAGAAAACTATCCGAGGGAAGAAATATGATTCAGACTCTGATGATGATTAGAAATTAGTTATAATTCTTTGTAAATTGTCTTTTTATTTCTGCTTAATTCAGAATTAGATATGTTTTCTAAATCCCGTTGGTTTTGATACATTGGTCATCTAATGGTCATGTTCTAAAGTTTTGTACAGTTTCATCACATCTTCAATATTTTCTGTGTGGCACTCATGTTTAAGTTGAGGAAAACTTCTGAGTTCTTAAATTATCCAGCAAGGGTCTGGATTCTCTATTTTTGAGATTGATTTTATCACAATATGATTCTTACGTCTTTATATCATTCACAGTTGTGTTTTTAATCTACTGGATTGGAAATAGGAATTCAGCAAACTATTCCAGGACTAATTCTTACACAGCGTTATTTACTTTATACAACAGGTCGAACAGCATTTACTGGTGTAACAGACTCACTTGTAAATGAATTATAAACACTCCTTACTTCTGGAATATATTTAACTATTAAAGAACTGCCTATTTATTCTGTAGGCTGTGTGTTGATGATGAATCAACTGATGTTAGCAGAAAGCTTTTTCTGAGGTTTTGAGCATACTACCTATTTAAAGGTTTTGAGCATACTACCTATTTAAAGGGTTCTGATTGCTTATATTTTAAAACATGCATTAAAAATAATCAGGAAGGATCACCTGGGTGGCTTAGTTGGTTAAGTGTCTGACTCTTGATTTCGGCTCAGGTCATGATCTCAGGGTCCTAGGATGGAGCCCTGTGTCGGCCTCTGCCCTCAGTAAGGAATCTGCTTAAGATCCTCTCCCTCCATGCCCTCCCCTCCCTCATACTCTCTCTCAAAAATAATCAGGAAACACAATTGGAGTGGCAACATGATCTGCAGACTCCTAAATGACAACTACCGTAACTGGTAAATATATGTATATTTTTTACTTAAAGTCTTGGGAGTTGTCATAAAAGCATACAGCAAATAAAAACATATATTACAGAAACATTTATTCAAGAAAAGATTAAAACTTGGTAAGAATAGTAAGTCTCTTTGGTATTTGAGCCACACTATTTCTCCCCCTAGCTCCCAGTTTCAGCCCACAGTTTCTCCTTAGGATGAGCAGACTGCTAGCATTTCTCATTCTACCTGCCCCCTCCCCGCAAGCTCTATGTCACAGAAGCTCTATTTCAGGTAACAGTAGCAAAGAGGACTGGACCTTCCTTCCTCTACCCAGTCCCCACTTAAAGCACTGAAGATCTAGCCCAGGAATGGCAGACCAAGATTACTGTTTTCTGATCACTATTGACCCAGCTTATGATTGGAAGTTCCATGCAAGGAAAGGCAAACAAGACCAGGAGCTGTCACCCACTGCTCTATTTATAGACTACTGCTCTATTTATCACTCCTAGAAAAGCAGGCTACTCTCCCCATCTCCAACTCTGAGACAGTAGCAAATTATAAACAGAGCTTCCATAGCATCCTCTAAGTTAAAGCCTAAGGGTGCTGCCATAGACAAAGGAAATTTGGAGTGGGAGTAGAGACAGACGAAGAGACTGGTAACTCTGTGATAGCAACAGGCAAAAGGGAAACCAGTGATAATCCTAACAGAGAATGAAAGGCAGCTAAGAGTAGTCCTAGGTCTAGAACAAGCCTCAACGAGACTATAAGGGCCTGAATTTAATTGGCTCAAACTGTGTAGCCATTTGCACCCCAGTGCCCAAAATAATAGACCCACCAACAATTAGTGGCTGTTAATTACAGTGTGATAACAGTGGAGGCGAACTAGAACCCTTACAAGGAGATTGGAGAAAGGAACCTAAATGCCCTACTAAAACTGTCCTTGGGGTTGGAGGGAGGATTCCGAGTGACTGCACATTCCCAGACTGTGCCCTCTCCAGAGGAGCATCAGATGCTGTACAGTGCAGGGTAAATGGACTTAGAAAGTCCAGCTGAGTCACTAAAAAGCTTTGGGAAGAGAAGAGGATGAGTCTCCAGAGCTGCTGTATTATCTAAACTGTCCAATTTTAAACAAAAAGTTCCAATATCTGTGGAGAAGCAAAGCAAAGTGTGTCCCAAAACCAAGGGGATTTCAAAACAGTAAAAAGAAACTTCCTCTGAGTGGACCCAGATGTTCGAAGCACAAAAACCTTCCAAGCAGCTCTCATAAGTATATTTTTTTAAAAAACTAAACCCATGCTGGAGGTAAAGGTATGATGATATTTCATAAATAGAAACAAAGTATTTTAAAAGAACCAAATGATGCAGATAATAACAGCCTGAAGAGCAGGAGAAAAGGGCGTGAAAAATAACTTGAGAGAAATATGAATCACCAACATTGTGTAATGGGAATTCCCAAAAGAGAGAAGAAAGAAAATAAGCAGAAAAATACTTTGAAGTTTTCTTAATGCTTAAAAATCCCAAGTCTGGTGGAAAACATTAATCTGAGAAAAATCAGTAAATTCTTAACAGAAAGTAGGCCATTCGGTCTACACCCACATACATGTCAGATTAAAAATACTGAAAGAGATCTTGAAAACAAAAAACCACTAGGTATAAGAAAACTCCATTAATGGTTGATTTATCAGAAACAGACCTGAAGGCAGTGGGATGATAACATGCAGAGTGCTGGAAAGGAAAAAACCATCAAGAATCTTCTAACAAAACTATCCTTCAGAAATGAAGGCAAAGTGAGGACATTCTCAGATTTTAAGAATTAATTTCTAGGAAACCAATCTTACAAGAAATAGTGAATCTTTTCAAGCTGAAAGGAAGTGAGACCACACAGTAATTCAAATCCCCATGAAAAAAAATGCTGAAGAAGGTAATTATGTAGGAAATTACAAAAGGCATTGTAATGACCTATTCTTCCCTCAGCTGACTTAAAAAGCAATACTACAAAACTATATAATTGTGTTATCTATAACGTAGAAATGTATATTTGTGACACCATAAAGCAGGTGGTGGAAGCAAAACTGTATTTCAATAATGAATCCACAGGAAGAAATGAGAACATGAAATGGTATAAAAAAAAAAAAAAGGTAAATATAAAAAAACTACAAATAAGCAGGCACTAGGAGGACGTAGCTCCAGGTCAGGCCTGGGGGTGTCCAAGCCATTGCAAAGTGAGAGGTGTGGCCAGAGCTGCTTGAATATCTACGTTTCACTTTCTGTGCTTATCCAGAGTTCTAATTCATCATGGGTAATCTGTCATCAGAAGAAATTCAACTAAAAGCCCACCCACTCATCCAGTTACGGATGAGTTTCTGGAAAGTACAAGGAAAATACTGGGTTTAGCCCTTAATTCTCAGGATGCAGGAATCAAGACTGTCACTATGCTGGATGAACAAGGGGAGCAACTAAACCACATAGAAGAAGGCCTGGACCAAATAAAGACATGAGAGACACAGAAGACTTTAACAGAACCCAACAAGTGCTGTGGCCTTTGCGTCTGCCCGTGTAATAGGACAAAGAACTTTGAGTCTGGTAAGGCCTGCAAGGCAACATGGGGAGATGGTGGAGACAGCTCTCCTAGCAATGTTTATCTATGCAACCAGACCAAGTGACAAATGGTCAGCTTCAACCAACCACTGGAGCAGCTATCAGTGGATACATTAAACATATAACCAACAATGCCAGAGAAAATGAGATGGAAGAGAACCAACTCAAGTGGGCAGTATCCTAGGAAACCTAAAAAACCTGGCCCTGGACATGGGCAATGAGATTGAGGCTCAAAATCAACAAATAGACCGGCTCACAGAAAAGGCTGACACCAACCAAGATCATACCGATGTTGCCAATGCCAGAGCAAAGAAACTCATTGACTGTTAAAGCTGCTGCTGTAATTCTTTATCATGTATTCGCTTCTCTAGCTCCTCCTTCAAAGTCATTACCTTTTGAGAGTTTGACGTTTTGGTGCCATGCTCTTCTCAATTAGGAGATAATGTGCAAGAGGGGCCAAGAATACAGATCCCCTATTGCTTTTTTATGTTGCTTTCCCTTGAGGGTACACTGCTGCTCAGCCTTCCTTCTAGTGTTTGTTTTTTCTTGGTTCATAGTCTTAGATTGGTTTTTGTACATCATGTATTGTGTTACTTTTCATCCTCCTCATTTACTCTAGCAGGTTCTTTTGCTTTGAAGATTTAGAAGTGTTGCCAAAGACAGCCATGAAGAAAGAAGCTGGAGGCAGGGGGAGTGCAAGGAGGAGAGAGAGGCAAGAGATAAGGGGTTGTTACCTCAGTGAAACCTGTAGGCTCCAAAGCAAAAGTTGTATAGACACAGTAAAGATCTGGTTGGGTTTAATTTTTAACTTAAGTTGCAGTTACTGCCAATACTTGGTTTCACACAATATTTTTACTATACACAATATTTTTATACACAATATTTTTGTTATACATCACAACTTGGCAATCTCTGCTCCAGAAAAATAGAATGACTTTTCTCAAAGTGGGCTTAGTTTCTGAACATTTGGTGATTTGCGTATGTCCAAAGACAGTGATCCCATTTCATACTGCACCATACAGGAACATCTTTTATAAATGAATGACTTTTTACTTTCACATTATTAGTAGTATCATGGTCCCATTACATGCCTCTTAATCTTGTACATATGTATGTGTAACATGAGAATTTCTAAAGGAGGGCTTAGATTTTTTTGGGAAAGTTTGACAAAGTATATTATGTGAATTCAGATTTACCTCAATGTCAAGAATCATGTTTAGATAGGATATAAGAAACTTGTTTTGATCTCAGGTAGAAAAACAGATTGCTTTGAGTTTTTTGTATATTTAGACTTTTAAAAAGCTAGAATTTATTCTGTTTAAAAGTGATTTGGAAAATTGTGCCTTTGGTTTAATTATTGATGATTGTTACTATCATTCAGTTAGCCTTATGGATTGAATAATGTCCAGGATCACATTTATTTAGATCCTGAACAGTGTTATAAGAATCTGATTGGTATTTGTCACCTTTATTTAAGAACTAGTGTCTGCATATTTCACAGGTATTAATGTGGATTGGTTTGACCAATAACCACTGCTTGATCTTTACAATTAAATTTTATAACTAAAAAAGAAAAAACTATGTATAACTTGTTCTTTCAACTATTTTGAAACAAAATTATGAAAATTATTACAATGTATTGATCCATTTTTAACATATAAAGATGCAACATATTTAACCAAAAAAAGCTTTATAAGAGTAACATTTCTATATTTCACTAGAATTAAATTACTATAAAGCTAAAGTGGATTCTAACAAGGTATATGCTTGTAAATGCCTAGAGTAACCGTTGAGAAAGCAAAAAAATACAAAAAATGATTACTAAAAGGAATCAAAATAATACACTAGAAAATATTGAGTCAATTAGGCATCCGACTGTTGATCTCAGCTCAGGTCTTAATTTCAGGGTTGTGAGTTCAAGCCCTGAATTGGGCTTCACACTGGATGTGGAGCCTACCTAAAAAATTAAAACAAAAGAACAAAAAAAAAACTCTAAAAAACTTAAAAATTAAGACAACCAACAGCAACAAACCCAGTTGAAAAAGAAATCAGAAAAAGAACAAAGGAAAAAAAGGTGTATGACATATGTAAAAATTAAAAAGCAAAATACATAAATCCAACCATATAAATGGGAACATTACATGAGAGTAGATTAAATATTGTCAGACTGGATTACAAAAACAAGATCCAACTATGTGCTGTCCCCAGTTAGACACACTTTGGATTCAAAAATTAAAAATACAATGAAAATACCATTGCAAACAGCAATCATCAGAGAGCTGAAGTGGCTAAACAAAGATAGGAAAATAAAAACTTCCTACAGAAAGAGGCTCATTTTATAGTGATAAAAGAGAATCCATCAAGAATCTATTAACAAGTATAAACATCACACCTTACAACACAGCCCATAAATTCTTGACAATTCTATATTTTGCTGTCAGAATTCTGAAGCAAAACTTGACAGAGTTGACAGGAAAATAGACAATTCAGCAATAATATGACCCAACTTTCAACAATGAATAGAAAAAGTAGGAAGAGAGTCAACAAGGAAACAGAAGACCTGAACAGCACTATAAACAAACTACACCAAATATATCTATAGAGCATTCACAGACCAGCACAATTCTGAAGCTCACATGAAATATGCTCCAAGACAGATCATATGCCAGAACACAAAACAAGCCTCCATAAATGCAAAAGTATTGAAATAATGAAAGGTCTGTTCTTTAGTCACAATAGGATGAAATTACAAATAAGTAACAAAAATCTGGAAAATTAAAAAATGTGTAGAAATTAATGCACTCCATAAATTTGGTCAGTAGGTCAAAGAGAAAAATCACAATTAGGAAATCCGTTGAGCTATATGAAAACAAAAATGCAACATACCAAAGCTCATGGAATGCCACTAAAACAGTACTTAAAGGGAAATTATAGCAGTAAGCACCTGTTTTAAAGGATACAAAAAAACTCAAACCCTACCTTAAAATATTGAGAAGAGAACAAACTGAACCTGAAACAAGCAGGGGAGATAAAACCTTAAAGCTACAATAATCTAGACTGTGGTACAAGCAGGCATAAAGATAAACATATAAATCAATGGAATTGAGTACAGAAATAACAATTTGTGGTCAGTTGATGTTTGGCAGAGGTGCCAAGACAATTCAAGTGGGAAAGAATAATCTCTTCAACAAATGGCATTGGGACAACTAAATATCTACATGTTGAAGGATGAAGTTGAACTTCCACCTCATACAATATACAAAATTTTGAATGGCTCAGAGACCTATATGGTACTCTATAAGGTAACTGATGTATGCTATAATATCGATGACCCTTGAAAACATTAGGTCAAGTTAAAGAAGCCAGTCATAAAAGACTACATGTATGATCCTGTTTATATATGAAATGTCCAGAAAACTCAGATCTATAGGAACAGAAAGTAAATTAATAGTTACTTAAGATGGGTTGCCAAGGGATGGGAGTGACCGATGTTTGTATGGGGTTTCATTTAGGATGGTGAAAATGTCCAGAACTTGATTGGACACAATTCATCCTTTTAAAATATACATTTCAATAAACCATTTAAAGGTTATAGAAACTCTAAAGGAACAACAAATAGAAAGGTAAATAACAAGACAATAGGAGAATATGAAAAAGCTCATAGAGCTCAGGAAAGAAAGAAAAATAAAAACGTTTCACAAATGAAGCTTAAAGGAAAAAAATAACAGGAGGAAGTAGACAACAGAAAGCGTTAAAAGGACTCTTTAGAAAAAATGTTAAATATGGGAAGCCAGGCAAAGATGATCCACCGTAATTACAAGAAGAAGCTGTGAAGAAGAAAAACAAAGGAATTGAATAGGAAGACATTCCCAAAATGGTAATTGAATAAAACTCTACTGAAACAGTAAGATTCAAACTTATATATTAGAAAGCCATCTCATATACTAGTAAAACTGACCCATAATAGCCACTAATGAGAAATACTCTCATAAAACTACTGACTTTTAAAGGAGAAGAAGAAAGTAAGGTTTTGGTCATTCAGGCAAAAAGGCCAGGTCACTTATATGGGAAAGAAAATTGAGTTAACATTGGAATTGTATACACCACACTTGATGCCAAAAGAAATAGAGTGGCATATTTAATATATTTAGACGGGGGAAATCTGAACCAAGGCTTTTATATTGAGCCAACTAAACTTCAAGAAATAAGACCATACATAAAATTATGATTATGCAAGAAATTAGAGAATATCGTAATGAATTATCTACTGAACAAGCTTCAGACACCAGGAAATGATTGGAGAATTTCCAGTATAAGGCTTCTGGGAATACAGAATATATTTACCCTTCAAACTAAATCCAATTCTGGTCACCAGAAATTGTAGAGTAGCAGTTCCAAGGGCACAATCTCCACCCTCACCCCCTCTACACACACACTCAATTGGAAAAAAAGCATAAACCATCAACTTTTCAAAATTATGGAAAATAGTAAAAGTTAACAACCAAGGAAATGCTGAATCAAGAAAAAAATTAGGGGGCACCTGGGTGGCTCAGTGGGTTAAAGCCTCTGCCTTCGGCTCAGGTCATGATCCCAAGGTGCTGAGATTGAGCCCCGCATTGGGCTCTCTGCTCGGTGGGGAGCCTGCTTGCCCCTTTCTCTCTGCCTGCCTCTCTGTCTACTTGTGATCTCTGTCAAATAAATAAATAAAATCTTTTTTAAAAAATTTAAGAACAGTAGGAATCTTTCTGCCATTTTTATTTGCCTTTGTCCCACCCCCTTCCTGAATGTGTGGTGGTCTTGAGGTCAGTAGCCTGCATTCCCAGTGGGGAATCCTACTCCCTGATGCTGAAGAGAGCAGAACAGACCTTATTTGCAAAGAATTTGTTTCTTTATCGGCAGTACTTGAAGGACTGACACAGGGAATTCATTTCTGTTTTGCCTAACTCGGAACTCAGGAGGAAAAGCAGCAGGCATTCCTTGAACTTTTTAAGGTAAATGAGCAATGTGCAGCCAGTTGGGGCAAAACATTATAGCTGAAGCATACAAGAGAGAACCAAAGCCAGTGAAGAAAACTGAGGGAGAGAGTTTCTTCGGGAATATTAGGGCATTCAAAGCTGCACTTTTACACTGAGGAATTTCAAAAGTCATATGAATATCCAAGGTAGGATGCATGGTCTGAAAAGACCAGAGAAGACTCTGAGCTTCCACTTTAGGCTGAACTCTGTGCTCAGTGAAAGCAAGAAATGAAGGCGAAGGCAGAGGTGTAGATATCCTAACACAAGTACCCCAGTACTGAATGACAGGGGCTTTTATTCTGCCTTTTCCCCTCCTCCCTCTCTCTCTTTTGGTATTCAGGGAAATTTCTATAAAAAGCTGAACACAAACTAAGGGTACAGAAGCTTCAAAGCACAAGTGACAAGAAAATAACAGACTTCTACAAAATTTGTTCAGAAAAGTCACTGAACAGCTACACCAATAGCATGCAATAGAAATAATAATAACAAAAACTGTGGGGAGGGTGAAGAACTTGCTTTCCCAACACATCATAATATTAAAAATGTCCAGTCATCAACATAAAAAATTATGAAGTATGTAAACAAAGTATGACAGACCAATTTACAGGAGAAATTAACAGAAACTCTCCATGAGGAAGTACACACATTGAACTAGCTAGACAAACTTTAAATCATATATAGGAAATATATAGGAAATATAAATCATATATAGGAAATATAGGAAACCACTTTTAAGGAAAACATGGACAAAAAGCTATAGGAAACCTGAACAATGTATAAACAATATCAATATTGTTTATTTATTTATTTATTATTTATTTATTTATTACTTCTTTATTATATATAAAAATTGTAAAAAGGAAATACTGAAGCAGGAGAGCTAGGTTCTTGTCTCATGGAGTCAAAGAATGAATCTCATGGGCAACAGAGAGTGAGTAAAGCCATAGAAGTTTATTAAGTGAAGATACAGAAAAATCTCTCAAGAGAGGAGTCTGGACAGAGTTGCCAATGAGGGCATTTATCCTTGGTCTTTTATAGAAAGCTAACCTGGGAACTTAAATTCTTATAACATCCCCATCAGTATAACCATTGAGCAAGGACTAGTGATAACACCTTCAATGGCTTGCTTCCTTTTTAGGGTCTGGGTGCTCTTTGTCGGTCACAGGTGATTACCATAAAAAAGACACTGACCACCTAGCAGACCTAGGTCCCATACCTAGGGCAGGGTGGTTTGGTTTGTTCCTTTACCTCTTGTTTTCCCACACCTCCACATTTTTGGGATTTCTGTGAGCCTGGTCACAGAGTCCCCCATCTCTCCCTACGTAGCCCCACCTGTCCCTTACTCAATGTGAAGAAATTCTAGAGCTGAAAAGTACAATAACTAAGATGAAAAACCAGAGGGTTTCCATTGCAGATTTTAGGAAGCAGAAGAACTGGTGGATGTAAAGATGAATCAATTTCTTTATTTTTTTTTAAAGATTTTATTTTTTTATTTACTTGACAAAGAGAGCTCACAAGTAGGCAGAGAGGCAGGCAGAGAGGGGGGA